TTAGGCAAAATAAATATATTCACCTGTTTCAAAAATACATGTCTTATTGAAAATAATTTATATATATAACTAATTAATATAATATAATATATATATATAAAACTAACTTAATCATTATAACTAATTTTATTTTGATTAAAAATTATTTTTTTTTAAATAATTATTCATAAAATTTCGAATTATTCCATATAAACGAAATTTAAACGGCTGCAGTATGATTGACTGTATAAAGGTAGCATAATCAATTGATTTTTAAATGAAATGTGGGATGAAAGGATTAATGAAATATATACTGTCATATATATATATATATATATATATATATATATATATATATATATATATATACATTTAAAATTTTAATTAAAATGTTAAAATTTTTTTACGGAATGATAAGACCCTCTTCGTTCTTGCGAAGTATAGTTATAGTTGTGCAATTTCACACTTTCTATTATTGACATTGTAGCAAGAGTTTTTGGAATCTTAATAAATATATATGCAGCGACTTTCATCGATACTCTGAGAAGTATATATACAGGGTGTTGCACGCCTGGAATAACTTTTAAATTATGCGTCTAATGAAAAATTGTTGAATAAAAAAGTCGTATGGTTTTAAGCAGAGCGAAATCAATTTTTTTTTTTTTTTGGAAAAGTGATCTTTATTTTTTTTTTTCAATACTGTATATTTTTCTCATCGTAAATCGAAAGAATATTAAATTCCAAGTGGAAAAAAATCTTAATCCAAATCTTCAATATTCGGACATTTAAATATTTGGACACTGACAGTTGAAGCTGTTGTAATTCTGTGAAATTTTCGTGAAAATTGTGTAGCGATGAACTTGGGTTGATTTTAGCCTCTACTTTCAAAATATGTTATTCATATATTGTTCTGGATCGTTTTTTACATCACGTAACGAGTGTAAAGAGTAAAGATATTTTCTTCTTCGAGAATGTTGTAAACTGTCATAGCACGCGAAAACGGATTTGAACGATTTCTTTTCGCGACTGAATCTACTATGAATTTGAAGATTGAAGTCTTCCCTTTACAACAACTCCCGGAAACTTTCTTCGTCATTCACGAAAACTCAAGAAATTGTAACATTTTCGTAATTATATCCGTTTTCGCCTAACATTCAAAGTTTAATAAATCAGCGGGAAAGGATTGTAACAGCAAGTTTCGAGGGATCGTTATAAAGGGAAAGTTTCAATCTTCAAATATATTGTAGATTCAGTGGTGAAAATTTTTTTTTTTTATGTTTTTACATACTACACGTGAGGAGAAAAGTTTTCGACGAGGAAAGTGTCTCGACTTGAAGTAATGTAAAAATGGAGTAATGTATTTCGAAAGTAAAGACTTCAAGCTTTAAGATGAATCATGAATGAAGTTCATTATTGACGATTTCTCTCTACAAAGTTTCAACATTCAATTTACGAATACTAATCATTATTTATTCACTGTGAACATCCTCCCACTTCTTTTGCTTTTGTATTTCTAAACTGTCGATTGTATAATAACACGTGACCATCGTCCATCGTGACATGAGAGAAACCTGAAAAATCACAATTTCCACGAGCGATTTCAAATTCTTTCGTTTCGATTTGAGAACGTTTCAAGAGGAGATTTCCTCGGTCCGAGAGCAGCACGTATCCACGCAAATGTCACGTAAGTCTCACTCGAAAGCGAACGCAGGCGAACGTGACTTGCACAACTGACAGCAGCTTGCACTCTCGACTTCAGCTCGCTTCAAGAGTCGAACAGTGGAATTAATCAGAGGAATCCTCGGCTTTGCAGGTATCCCACGCAGGTGCAGTACCAACCGAGGCCGCAGTATCAACCAGAGTATCGACCGCAGTATCAATCGCAGTATCAACAACAGCAGCAGCAGCAGCGATCCGCGTATCCAGCCGCGCCGATTCAAAGCGGGATTCAAGGTCGCCCGGCACCCGCCGATCCGAACGCCGGCTTAGCCTCTTACACGGTTAATTACAAACGATAGAGACAACCATCTCGATCTCGTCTCGACCTGTGTAAATATCGTTAGCGTTATCTGTTACCGATTTCCCGGGACGCGTTACAGAGATTGTAGTTTCGGGCCAGTTTCATTGAATTCTCGATCCCCAATCGATCGGGCCCAGTTTCGTTTTTTGTTTCTTTCTATTTTCTTTCCCTTTTTTGGTTAAATGTACGAAGGACTTTTTCTTCTTTTCTTTCTCTCGATTAGTATAGCGAAGGCTGGATCTTGAACTTGAAATGCTATCTCTATGGCATGGTAATTCATCTTCCATTGTCTCACGAAGCATTGCAACACACTCCGACTGATTACACAGATCAGTCGTTCTCGTCATTGGAAGATCTCTAAATCTTCTCTAATGTTCGCGCGAATCAGTCCAACCGCCTCGAGATAAAAATATCTTCGAGCAAGACACTCGACTACTTAATATTCCACGCGACTCTCGCTCTTTCTTAACTTCCGTTCTTGGTAATACTCCAACGGGGCATGTCCATTTAGACTCTGAAAGTAGTTCCTTTGTCAAACTCTACCTCCTTCTTCCTTCTCTACCTCTTTCCCTACCAGTTCTTTTATACCTGTTCTCTCTACCTCTTTAGCTCTAACTTCCACGGCTCATTGTCAGACTCGTTTACGTGTCTCGTTATTTCTTCGCGTCACCTAAACGCTCAATGCATCATGTCTCACGATTACATTATCCATCTCGCGTGCATCCACACGGCAATAGAAACTTCGACTTTTAACCAATTCGTCCAATTCTTTAATTCTCGCTTAAGATCACGACGCAGATGATTGGAAATTGATCAGTGTGGTTTATAAATCTATTCTTGGTTGCTTGAGTTTAATCCTTTGAACACGTACGCCACGCTAGATTTGTACGGTTATTATTTAATTTATACTAAATACATTAGTTTTACCTAATTTGTAATAGTTTAAAGCAAACACAAGGCGTAACGACATTGAAAGCAAATCGAGTTCAAAGGTTTCGTTTATCCTAACCTCGAAACTTTCAAAGACGAGCGAAAGTGGTTGACAATTTGAGAGTCTGTGAACTGTCAGTTTTCTTGCGTAGAACAAATAAAAAGTAAACGATCATGAAGAATCGAAAGATTTACGTATTTCGGCACAAGCATCGCGAGAAGCAGAGAAACAACAACCTCGCAACGGGGTGCAAACAATATGCAAAATGGAATCCCATGTCCTGCGTTGACAATTGCGTGGCTGAATTGAACTTGACACGTTGGTGAAAAAGTCGCGAGATATTGGCATAACTAAGGTTGGTGTGGCCTTCAGATGCTATCGATTGAACGAACGACCCGTCCGAGACGTAGGCGAACAACCACGTTCGTGCGTCGCGATTATGCCCGCGAGATTCCTCAGTGGTGAACAATCGATGGCGCGACATTTGCATCCTATCTGGCTGGTTTCCTTTTCCGTGGAATTCACGAGGACATAGATAGTCGCAAGTGCGTTGCGTTGGCCACAATTGATCGCGTGCAGAGATTGGAAAGACGTATGGAACATGGGATATCGCAGGATAGTGTAATAACGATAGAGTAGATGCGGACGTTTATGGTAGCTAGGAATTTCTAAATTCGGTTTGGGTAGTTGCTCGTTGGCACATGGAAAAAGATGCATATATACATATTTTATATGTATGTACATGTGTGTGTGTGTGTATGTTAGGGATACTAACATTATTTTGTGTATCAGTCTTATTGTTTTATGTTATCTACCCAGTGTATCGTGTAATAAAGAACTTTTGCAAAAATATTGTTCGCTTTCACGAGAGTCTTCTTTTCTCCTCTCTTGACGTAAAGCAATTGCTTATTCCTAGTTTATACAATAAATACGAAGCAACTTGTGTCGATGTTTTACAACCACGGTGGTAGATTAAAAAAAAAAAAAAAGAGGAGTTGAAAGTGTAAACGCTTGGCAAATAACTTGTAAATTGAATTTCGGTGCGCTTTTTCTCAAAGAGAAACGTTTCTCTTTTTAAGATAATTGGTTGCTTTCTTTCGAAATGCGAACGCGACGTGCCGAAACTTTCCAATTGAGGGAAACGTTTTCGTAATTCCACTCGCAATATTGCATCTTCAACGGAAACTGAGGTCGGTGGAGGGCCGATATCTCGACCATGCATGCCCGCACAACTGCCTAAAGTGTCGAACGACAGAAGACGGGGGTAAAATTTCAGACGAGGAGGAGGTGACACAGCCGCACATACCACGGAAGTCTTTTCTACTGGCAAGGAAAGCTTGCCGCCACGCCCAGGAATTTCATCCACGCTTCTCGAACATCGGACACATCGTGCAATTATCCGGAGCACCTGTAGGTGAACCTCTCCCGCCACGTTCCCCGGCCAATTTTTATTTCCTTCTGCCGTTTAAGAATCAAGGAGGACAACCGTATGCATACTCCATGTCGTTCCAAGGTGTTGCAACTCGCTCGTTCTCTCGCTCGTAAATTCGAAACATTCGTACAGAAGAAAGGAAAAACTGCATGTGAGATGTAATACTCGACTATATTGATATTCGTGTCAAACGAGTTGCTCAGTGGAATATTTTGCAAATTTCCTGTGTATATTTTTAGGCCCGTAATACTTAACGCTAAACGGTACCAAGCGGGGTCAAATGGCCCCTTTTCAAAATTTACTTTAAA